AAATTAAAATACCTATAATTAAAAGCTAGTGTAACGGCAATCAAGTATTGGCCATCGATTGTTGTAAAAACACACCTGGTTCACTATTGTCTTTTAGGAACGAAAATCTGCCATCTTTATCAGCTCTGGCCTACACACTACTCTAGACCCACAAAAGGTAGTTGACTCTTAAGTGCCCTCTGAAATGGTTTAATAAGCCTCTCAGTTCAATAACAGCAATAACAGTACAAATGAATTTTAAAAAAGTACACTAACACTTGGGTACAATTTAAGTAGATAATTAGCTAACAGTACTTTGCCAAGTCTCAAACAAAAGCATATACAACGACTTCTCAAATCACTACTTCCACGTCAACAGGGGTGACTATGTGAACAATAACTTAGAAAATATCTGCAAAAAAAAAGCAACAGAGATTTGAGCCTCTATTGCATAGGCAATGCAGTATATTGGAGAGTGCCTGTGAACATTAAGCCAATGCAAGGGATACTATTTTCTTAACAGGGAAGTACCAAGACTCCGTTTGTATAGTTGAGTTAGCATGGTCAATAATTGAAGCCAGAATCAATGCCAAGTTGAAACAGAAGCCTTACCTAAGCCATCATTCTTCAGTGAGCATGTGCCATCAAACTATTCAACATAGGAGTTTTACAAAAGAAATGAAAAGAGAAGACACTGAGAAAAGATGCTAAGGCCTTCCATCAGACCTAACACTAACTCGATTTTTCTCCCTAAACAGATGCCATCTGACCTGGTAATAAAACAAAGAACTGCGAATGCTGAATGCTTCTTCGTGAAGAAGGGCCATTTCGTGAAGAAGCATTAACTCTTTCTGTCTAGCTGCTGCCAGATCTGCTGAGTTTCTCCTGCCTGACCTGGCAATTGTTTTCGAACAAGTTCTGATTTCACTTCAGATTTCTAGCATTTGTAGTATTCTGTTTTTTTGGCATGATGGCAGATTCTGATGTACAGGTAAATCTTCCCGCAGTGGTCACAAATAGCATTGGATGTGCGAAGCTGAGCCATTCCACTCCTTGCACTCCATGCAAGGAACATCATTATTGCAGCTCCGCTGACACACAACTAACAAGAACTCTGGGCTCTATGACATTAATACTTTGCTAACCTTCCTTTCCATAAAATTGAAACATTCAAAATACTAAGTTACCTTGTAAAAGGTTTCTTTTAAAAAGGCAACTAAGATGTTCCAATTTCCTGTCATCGGAATTAAAATATGCCTTCAGAAAGCACTAAACGCATTCACAGCCATCAAGTCCTGTGACAGCAGACAATAGAGGCATTAATTAGGACTGGCTCAAGACCACGGCTGGTTTTATACCAGTCAAAAGAATCTATGCAGAAGCTGGCCACATTTGGAAACTCAGTGCCAAACTTAAAAAAATTACAGATCTACGGCTGAAGAAAAAAACCTAACAGGAATTTTAATCAGACCTTTCCTCAGAGTTTAACAAAACTGAAACCCAAATACAAATGCATCAAAGAATCTGCCCAAAGGCAAGCGAAACTTTTTATCGTAAGATTGCCTGCAGGGACATAAAACGTGCGGTCTATAAAACCCTTCAGCCAATCCAAAACTGAATTATTACAGCATCAAGTAGAAGACATCCATTGAGCTCAACATGAACATTTCAAAAAAAGCTGCAACTTAACAGATGAGTGAAATCATTCAATTCTCTAGTATACAGTCGTTTGCAATCATCTATTATAATATGTCACTTCCTATGGATTGATTCAAGTTTCTGCACCTATTACACTATCAAGAAGGCCAGTCACAGAATTTGTGTAAAGTGCTTCTTAACATTAGTCCCCAAGTTGTATTTGACCAATTTCTGTATGCGTGCTCGTGTCCTGTATACAATTAACTTGAAACATTTATATATTTTAATCAACTACATCAATACACAATTCTCAGCAAACAATTTGGAATTCCATAAACAAATCCTAAAAAGGAAAATCAATAGTATTTTCCTTCATGTAAAAATTATTACTTCTATGAGCCAGCATTAAAGCTCGATATTCATTCTGAATTTTGAATTTTAATTTTCCAAACACCATTTTTAAAGTGTTGACAGTATGCTTGCAATGCACTGTCAGCAGGGTAGCAGCCACACGTATTTATTCTTAAAACAAGGGAATAAACATCTTAAGGACAGCATCGCCCTTCAATCCGAATGTCAGACACCATTGTTACTAAAATATTTCATTCGACGTGCTTAAGTGCCTGTTACACAAGCCACAAAGCACTTGTTAGCAAATAGTAATAGTACCTTTTGATCCACTGCCATTAGCCAGACAGAAATATGTTTGTAGCCAAGTTGGATGGTGAGGGGGCAAAACGGAAGAAACATTCCACATTTATAAACTTCAGATGCATTTTGTTGTCAAGGAATTCAATAAAAATTCCAAATGTTGAACTTTTAATGTGATCCTTATCCAAAGGTCAGACAAATATAACAGCTCACTCAGTCATCTGTGTACCATACATTTTGTTTCACATCAAGGATCTAAATACTTTGTTGAAGTTTATCCCAAACACGGAGAGCATTCTTAACTCCAAAGGACATGCTGGAATTGAATTCGAAACACACGGAATGGGTTCATCCATGCTAAGGACTCCAATGATTGAAGATCTTGGAGGCTTCTAAGGATCTGCCCTTAATGTAATCTTTAGCAAGTTGGTTGGACATGCGGTATGGTGAGCATGGAAGAGGGAAAAAAAAAAAGGTTAAGAGAAGTATCTAGAAGAAATAAAAATGGTGAGAGAAAACCTCACCTCATACAACTGGCACTGACATCAGTTTGTGACCCTCTTCGATAGCCCCATAGGCAAGGAAGGGATCAAAATTAGTTTCGACAGGACAGAATAAATGCCAGAAACCAACACAGTTTGCGCAGTCTTCCAAGAGTTAAGCTTTAATGTGAAATTGGTACGGTATTCAAAACTTCAAGACTTTTTTCATTTTTCTTGAATTAAAAATAATGAATGACTATAATTAAAAGGAGTAGAAAAACAATATAATTATTGACATTATTTATACCTACATTCATCAATTTTTGTTTTCTTTTCCCAAGTTGTACATAGCACCAACCAAATTGAAAGAAACACCAATTATTAAAAGACACGTACTAGTGAGATGTCTGATTTGCATTCTGTCCAACTCCTTCAGATCAGGAGACTGCTCTGAAAGCCAAGGCTACATACACTCTACAAAAACATTATTGTACAGGACCTTGACTACTGTTGCACTATTTTGATGACAACTAAACATTATACAACTGGCAAAGCCATTTGTGGAAATCAGTTTTGCAGAAAAACAAGACTGTATACATAGTACATGACAGTCAAGGCAGCCTGGAGGTGTAAAATCCCAAATGACAAGCCCAGCTCTCAGTCCACTCAACAACAAGTCATATTGTGTTTTATTTAAATATTTGTGCTAATTTACTAACTGCAGCCTCAACAGCCTTCATTCTTTTATGTCTTCACTAACGCTTTTGTATTTGCTCTAACCTTTCATTGTAATGTGATTTAGGACATAATGGTGGCACAGCTCATCAGAACTTCAGTGACCCACACCACAAAATGCTCAAAAATGGATGTGTTAAGATGCTTCACACAGCTGATTCTCAGGCTCAGACACACTCCAGTGCTTCTCCTTGGGAAGGGAAAACAAATCAGCACACTCATCATCATTACTACTTACAAAACGTGCGCGCATTTAGGAGCGGAATTCCACCTCCTTTCCTCAGCTAGGGAAGGTGGGTGCACAAAGTTGCCATGCTTTTCTAACAGCAATATTCTGCAGATGCTGGAAATCTGAAACAAACACGTAGGATGCTGGAGAAACTCAGCAGGTCTGGCAGCATCTGTGGAGTGAGAAATAGAGTTAATTCTTTTAAATCTGGTAGGGCACTTCTTCAGAACCGGTTGCTAGACTTGTTCCTAGACTTTGTAGAGGTAGCAGAAAATAAAAATGTACAAAACAAAATTAGTTTACGTGCCATGTAGCACCTAACAACCAGCTGGTGTATATGATCAAGCTGAAGCATGCAAGCAGGTGAATGAACAGCAACAAATATTTTAGTTTAAGAGTACAATTAACAATTGCAGATACTTTGAACTAATCATAGACCTAACCACAGTAATCCAAAAGGCATCAATAAACACAAAATCTTTTAAATTGTCCCCTGCAATTAGGCTAGTATTTTGTATGATAATTACTCTCAGATTGGGTATAATTTCACACAGGCTTTTATTTTGCATTCGTTCAGTTTCTTGTAATGGTAGCATCTGCTGACACCAACTGTCAATGCACTTCCTGCCTTAATGCAGGGTAATTTTCACACAAGAGTATCCCTTGTCCAGTATTGCACAGAATAATCAATTATAGGAATCAATGACAAGGGCAGTCTCAAAGGGATTCACATCACATGAATTAAAAGGTGTACCATTCACAATTCTAGCTAGAAGCAAGATTATAACTTCAAAAATCACTCTGGTTTATCTGTTATTTATATAACAAAAGATTGCCTTTAGTTTTCTCTCTCCATATTTTAAAGCAGAGAGAAATAGAGTGCTTTAAAACAGTGTTGCTTAGCAAATCCTAACAATTTCTCAACTTTTGAAACTTAGAAAAAATGGCAAGATTATTTAGACAGCTGAATTAATTCAGGCTTTATATAAAATGCAGCATGTTTGTTTCCTGTAGACAGCAGTCACTGCACTCTATAGCACGACAGAGTAACTTGCACACAGAAGGAACAAATACCCTATTCTAAAAGTGAAGATTTCAATCAACAATTCATCACTAAAAATCAAGTTAGTTACCGTATAACTCTAGAACAAAATTTTAATGTATTGCTTAAATTTTGCAATACAGTGATCAGTAGTCTCTCTTCAAAGATACAATACATTGAGAAAGAAACACTAGGAAAACTTTGAATGGAGCACAAGAAGTCCAATTTATGGCAAACAGCTTACCTGGCATCTCCTTTACTGAGATTGGCATTAGCTGGACTTAGAATGGTCTGATTTCCTTCAACATCTATAATGCATTTTGTGTTCAAATCAATTTCTGAAAACAAAGTGAGACATAATTTATTAAAATAAATTGTGGCAGGAAAAATAAGACTTACACATCTTCATAGCATTTTTTAAAACCTATATCAGAAGACATCATAAAGCAGCTAGATAATTTATATACCTGTAAAAGTAAACATTTTCTAAAGTACTTTCATAAGTTAGATTTAAAAATTATTTTTGTGACCTTATTTATCACCCCTTAATGATTTCTTCCAACCGTGCGTTTCTGCTTACACATCCCGACCCTTCTTGTTCACCTGCGATCTTATTGATTGCTTATTATTCATCCATGCTGTTCTTACTCATTGCAACTCGCTGCCAAGTTGCCTGCACCTCCCTCGATTTCAGAAATCTCAACAATCCTTTTTACCACCACACCTTTGGCTGTCAACAATCTTTTTCAAATTATCTAATCTCCTTGACATCTCTTTTCGCTTCCCTACTGAATGTGAAGCACGTTTGGGCAGTTCCTCCATGAACTGCTCTACAGCAATGCTACTACAAAAAAAAAGCTACATTTAGCAACTCAAATACATCACCAAGTTGGTTCCCATGTACCTCTTCAAACATTCACTCCCCCCACCACCAATACCGCTACCAAAAATCAACCTGTTTACATATGAGTTTATGTTTCAGTACAATAAAATATCCCAAGGTTCTTCACAAGAGTATTATAAAACAAGATTTAACACCAAATAACATAAGGAGATATTAAGTTAGATGGCCAAAGAGATAGGTTTCAAACAGTACTTAAAAGGAAAAAAAAATGTAGAGGTTGAGATGTATAGCAAGGGTTTTCCAAAGTTTAGGACTTAGGCAGCTGAAGGAACCGTCATCATGCCGGAGTGATTTAAAATCAGGGCTGCGCACAGGGCCAGAATTGAAGAACCTCAAATTTGAGGAGACCATTGCTTAGTAACATTGTCAATGAAGTCAATCTAGTGATCCCACTTAATGCTCTGGGTACATGGGTCGAAAGCTCACCACAGCAGATGGTAAAGTTTAAAATGAATAAATCAGAAATTAAAAGCTGGTCTAATGGTGACAATGAAGCCATTGCCAATATCACTAAAACCCTTCTGGTTCACGAATGTCTTTTAAGGAAGGAAAATCTGCCATCCTTCCCTGGTCTGGTCTACATGCGAGTCCACATCCACAAAAATTTTGACTTATCTCTGAAATGGTCTAGGAATCACTCAGTCACATCCATACTCTAGAAAATCTAATATCTAGAAAGACCATCTGGTATCAACCAAGGCACAAGAAATAAAAACAGCACTGTAAAATCCATCTTCCTAACACCTAGTTGCTGGTGTCCAAAATTGGAACCGATTGTTTCATCGAGCATTAGTCTGACATTATACGTAAACTACGGTTCCATGAGTACGACCACGTCCCAGACATCACTGCCACAGGTATAGGCACAGTAGCGTGCAGTCAAGAGGGAGGTGCATTCAGAGTCTTCAACATTGATTCCAGACTCCATGAAGCCTCATAGCATCTGGTCCAATTTGGGCAAGGAAAACACCTGCTGATTAACACCTACTGCACCACTGAGTTGATGAATCAGCTTTCTTCCATGTTGAACACCAATTGGAGGGCTCACCAAGGGACTCAGGGTGGGAGATTTCAATGTCCAGCAGCAATAGTCACTCAGTAACACCATTACTGACCAACCTGGTCAAGTCCTAAAGAGCTTAGCTGCAACACTGGGGCTGCGGCAGGAAACCAACCACGGAAAAACATATCTACCTGGAGCAGATTCATCTTGCCATGACAGTATCAGGAGTGATCACCACACAGTCCTTGTGGAGTTGAAGTCCCACATCTCAGTGAGGATACTTTTTGTCATGTTGTGTGGCAATACCACTGTGCTGATGAAATGAAATTCAAACAAATCAATCAATTCAAGACTGAGAATCCAATGGCCACAAGAGCTGCAGAATTACATTCAACCACAATCTGCATATCTGCCGCTCTGCCATCAACACTGGGCCAGAGGATCAAACTTGGTTCAAGAGGACTGGAAGGCATTCCAGCACCAGGAATACCTTTTCTAAAAGAAAAAGTATCAACCTGAGCTACAACACAGGATTACTTGCATGCCAAGAAGCATAGGCAGCTGAAGACTTGTACACCAGATCTAACCAAGCCCCTAGGCAAGCACTTTAATTTTATCAACTAATCTCTTATGTGGGACCTTATGAAGAGCCTCTGAAAGTTCAAGTAAACCACATCAACTGGTTTCCTTTATCAACTCTGCTAATGATAACCTCAGAAAATTCCAATAGATGCAACCATGATTTCCTTTTGTAAAACTCTAGCATTGTCCCTACTAATGTCAGGCTCACAAGTGTATAATTCCCCATTTTTTCTGTACCTTCTTTTAAAAGAAAACACAATGGGATCACATAAACTATCCTCTAATACATTAGAACTGTTCCAGAGTCTGTTTAATCTTGCAAGATGACCAATGTATCCACTATTTCTAGGGACACTTTCTGAAATACCCCTGGATGTAGGTTACCAAGCCCTGGGGATTTATCAGCCTTTAATATCATCAATTTCCCCAACACGATTTCCCTACCAGTATTGATTTATTTCCTTAATGACTTAGGATGAGGGAAGTAAGTGTCAACTGTTTAAGTTTCCTGTCCTGTCTGGAAATTATATAGCCATTCCTTTACTGTGACTGGGTCAAAATCCTGGAACTCCTTTCATTGTAGATCTATTCTCACCAGCTGAACTGCAGAAGTTCAGGAAAGTTGGCTCACTACCACCTACTCAAAGGAAATTAGAGATACACAAGAAATGTTGGCCTTAGAAATGCTCAGATCCCATCAAAGAATACTACTAAACGAAAAGGAAGCAAAGTTAAAAGAACCAGTCAAACAAGTTCATCATGCTATGACAGATGCCCACTGAACTTTTAGAAGAAGAGGTGGCTAAATTCTAATTCTCTGATAGTTCCAACTTTCTCACTGTAGACTATACACTAGCTGAAAGACATCTAAAGAAATAATATTGTCAGGCTTGAGTCAGTACTACATCCTACAAATGCTTGAGCAGAAACTACCATTCTAACTTCCCTTCCCTGTGGGTGAGTAGGTGGTTTGCATTTTCTTTTACCCTGTTAGACATATATCAACATTGCAAACATTCAATTCAGGAAATCCTGTGACAAAACCACATCCTACCAATCTGTGACACATCTTTATACTAATACAATGCTGTAGAAATCTACAATCTATTATTTATTATAATTAATGACAATCTTTAAATCATTTTAAAATTAAAGAGCCAGTGGTTTTTGCATAACGTATCCAAATTATCTGAGCATTTTAAAACACAGGAAGTATAAATTCAGAGATAGTAGGAACTGCAAATGCTGGAGGATCTGAGATAACAAGGTGTGGAGCTGGATGAACACAGCAGGCCAAGCAGCATCACAGGAGCAGGCAGGCTGACGTTTCGGGCCTAGACCATTCTTCAGAAAAAATGTATAAATAAAATGTAAAGAAGTATAAATTCACTTTTTTTTGCTTTTAGAAAGCATCTGAAGTGAAAAGAGCAAGAGAAATCAAAGAGAAACAGAAACAGAAATAAATTAGATCTCTATTTAAAGGGCTAGCAAAGATGACCCAAGTCAAATGCCCCGTTGTGTGCTATTTTCACAATCCTTTCTACCCTATGATGTTGATGTCAACGGTAGCAGCCTCAATCAATTCAAAGGTCAGGAAACTAACCCAGAAAAACAAGTCCTTCACAAATAATGAACAGAATTATATTAACTTAAACCCCAACAATGTTTAAACAAATAAGGACCAAATATCCTATTCTAACTGATTGGAAAAGTCAAATCACAAGTCAGTAGCAACACTCAAGTGCCATCTGTTACATTTACCTACATGCAAAAAAGTGAGTTGGGTACAACAAACATTAGTTGGTTCGCAACTGCTAGCTGGGTAATTTTAGAAATGTCCTTGACAGCAGAGATTTACAAATACAATCAGCAAGCATGCCAGCATTTCACTAACCAACAGGGTCTAAACATTTCATTGCTTCTGCTTCAGGAAGCATGAGAGGGGGAAGAGATTGAGATTCTCGTCCCTAAATGCTGTCTTTCTGTTTACACAAGGGAAGTAGTGGGAAAACAAAAAAAAGAGTGAAAGTGTAAAATAAACATCGACTTAACATCTACAGGATGTACTGAGTAGACTGAAATTGTTCCTGATACTGTGAGGAGTGTCATTTGCTAACAGCACTCAAGCCTAGAGTGCAAAGTACAGTCAATGCAAAATAATTCCACATTTCCCTTGTGAAATGAATATACCAAGATATTTGAGCAAAATAGATGGAAATCCTTTGGAATTAATCTATTAACGTTACGTATATATTATCTAGTTCAAATACATTTGAAATGATCGCACTTTGCCTTCAAAGTATCAGAGCTCCACAGACTATTTAACAACTCCATATGGCTGGTGGACTGATAAGAGCTCTGGACCTGACTGTACTTTGGCACCCTGAATGTAAACATACAATGTTTAGTTCCTACATTTTTATGAATAACACCACAAAAGAACACATACAGCCTGGATCACACAAAGAGAGAAACAGATGCAAAAACACACCTTGGTAGTAAACCTAGCAACTGCAACAATCCACTGCATCTAGAGGAATGGACTGGGATGGACCGAAGAGTTTTCCGCGCTCAACATTTCACAACTTGCCTCCAGACAACAGAAAATAAAAACAGAAAATGCTAATAAACAATATTTTGGTCAGAACAGCTGCCCAATTTGCTTGTAACATTAACTTTGTTTCTCTCTCTGCTGACTGGCCAAGCTACTGCATTTTTTCAACACCTTTTGATTCTAAACAAGACTGTCAGGATTTGCAGTATTTTGCTTTTATATTCTGAAAAGCCAACCATGAATTTTGATATCAATGTAATGGTTGACAACTTATCTGATGCACTTTGGCATGAGG